TTCCCAGTACAATTAGTCTTTTAATTTCCTGACTACTGATGTCAAGAATATTGATTGTGGAAAAAAGCAAGCTGAAGTTGTTAATAATCATAATCTCCTCTCTGTCTAATGTAAAGCTGTCAATTGGCCCAGTGGTGAGAATCTTTGTCTTCTTGATGTTGAGCTTCCATCCATTTTGAAGACTACAGTGCTTGGCCTAATGTAGCAAATGCTTCATGTCCTCCTCAGTTTCAGCAAGCAAAGTTGTGTCATTTGCATAACACAGGTTATTGATGAGTTTCCTTCAATCTTTATGTCACATTCCTCCTCATAGAGTCCAGCCGCCTGAACCATCTGTTCTGCAAAGAGATTGAAAATGTATGGAGATAGGATATATCCCTGTTGCACACCTTTCCTGATCTTGAACCTGCAGTGTTTCCTTGCTGTGTTCTAATTACTGCTTCCTGCTCCAAATATAGGTTTTTCATGAGCACCATTAAGTGTTCTTGAGTATGTTGTTGTTGTTGCTAGGTACCATCAAGTCAAGCACAACTCACAGCAACACTATGAACAAAAGATCTGAACCCTGCTCTATCCTGTGCCATTCTCATACTTCCTGACACACAAGAGCCCATTGCAGCAGTCACTGTGTCAATCCACCTGGCTGAGGGTTCTCCTCTCCTTCGTTGACCCTCCACCCTTCCCAACATCATGTCCCTCTCCAAGGAATAACACCTTCTGGCAACATGACCAAAGTATGTGAGATGAAGTCTCATTATTCTTGCCTCAAACAGCACTCCAGCTGCACACTCTCCAAAACATATTTGTTCTCTTGGCCATCCATGGGATGGTCAGTGCTCTTCTCCAACACCACAGCTCAAAGATGTCAATGCTTTTTCTGTCATCTTTTTTCATGGTCCAGATCTCAGATGCATAGCAAGTAATCAGAGAGACCATGGTCTGAATCAGACACAGTTTAGTCAGATTTTCTCAGAGCAATGAAACTGCAGATTTTCTCAGAGGAATGAAACCTCCTTATTTCCTGTCTGCTGGTACAGAGTGTTAATTTTGGATCCAAGCAAGATGAAGCTGTTGAAAGTCTCTATCTTCCTCTCCATCCATCATGAAACTATCAGTCCAGTAGTAAGAATCTTTGTTTTCCTGACATTGAGATGTAATCCATACTGACGGCTGCATTCCTTGATCTTCTGCAACAAGTACTTCAAGTCATCCTCACTTTCAGCAAACAAGGTTATGTCTTCAGCATAATGCAGATTATTGCTAAGTCTTGCTCCAATCCTGATGCCACACTCCTGCTCAGAGAGCCCAGCTTTGGAGTAGATTGACTATGAATTCCTTCTCTTCCCTTGATGCTTCCTGTGTAATTTAATTTTCCCCACAAAGAACCATTGAATATACAGCTTGAAGCTTGATATTTTTCTTTAAATCTTTCATCCTGAGAAATGATGAATGTGTTTGTTCTTTCTCTTCTCTAACTCCAGGTCTTTGCACATATCATTATAATACATTACTGTGTCTTCTCAAACTTCCCTTTGAAATCTTTAGCATTCATTCTTTAGCATCATCGTTTCTTCTCTTCACTTTACCTTCAAGAGCAAGTTTCAGAGTCTTTACATTCGTCTGGGTCTTTGCCCCCACCCCCTGCTTTATAAATGACTTCTTGTTTTCTAACTAATGATGTCCTTGATAGCATTCCAAACACCTCTAAACTTCATTGATGTTAGTTATCAAGTTGATCCTGACTCAGGGCAACCTCATGTTGCAAAGTAATATCTCATGGAGTAAAAGTACAAAGTAATATCACATGAAATATATTTCCAGGCCTGTATTCTGAGGAAATCTCTTCATGTATCCAAACTGCCAACCATTTACTTGGTAGTTAAGCATGCAACCATTTATGCCACATAGGAATTCCATTTTTTTCTAAATTTGTCTCTTTGTTTTAAAGTTTTGCTACGTTCCTGTGCTTATTCATTTTTGTTCATCATATAGGAGCAAAATGGGTAAACACTAAGCACTTCATTTCATTTAATAACTGCAGTACAAAAAGGGGAAAGTGGCATTATATCCAAAGAGGAAATTTAAATGTAAACAAAACTCTAATATTATTGACTATTTGAAGGTAAATTTTCATAAATTTGGCATAATCTTCAGGGAACTGCACTGCTGATACAATGATCACCCTTCTCTGGCAGTTAAAATCCACCAACAGCACCTCTGGAGAAAAATGAGCAATCTCCTACTCTTCTACCTACAACCTGGAGGACCAAAAGGAACTATGAGTTGATTTCAACTAGACAGCAATGAATTTTTTTTTTTAGCGTGATGGATAAATGAAACTTTGAAAGATGGAAATGTAACTAGGTCAGTGAGAGTAGAAACCCATCAGGAGACACTGGAGGTAGATGTTGTTATTGTTGTTGTTGTTGTTGTTCTGTGCCGTCGAGTCGCTTGCGACTCATAGGAGCCCTATGTACAACAACCCTAAACCCTGCTCTATCCTGTGCCAGTTGCCTTGCCTCTGACACACCCATCCTGATTACCCCAGTCACTGAATCAATCCACCTCATAGAGGGTCTTCCCCTCCTGCGCCGTCCCTCCACCCTACCAAACATGATGTCCCTCTCCAAGGACCTGTCTCTCCTTACAACATGTCCAAAGTATGTCAGGCGAAGCCCCAGAATCCTTGCCTCCAAGGAGTAGCCTGGTTTAACCTTCTCCAGGATGAATCTGTTTATTTTCTTGTCAGTCCATGGAACATTAAATACTCTTCTCCAGCGCCACAGCTCAAAGGCATCAATTCTCCTTCTATCCTCCCTAGTCATTATCCAGCTCTCTGATGCTTAACAAGTGATTGCAAAAACCATGGCCTGTATCAGGTGCACCTTAGTCTCCAGAGAGACAGCGTTGCTCTTGAATACTATAGAGAGGCCCCTAACAGCAGACTTTCCCATTGCAATACGTCTTTTGATTTCCTGGCTGCTGGTGCCAAGAGTGCTGACTGTGGAGCCAAGCAAACTGAAGCTGTGAACAATCTCAATCTCTTCACCATCCATCCTGATGCTACCAAAAGGCCAAGTACTGAGAATCTTTGTCTTCTTGACATTGAGCCTCAATCCATATTGAAGACTACAGTCCTTGACCCAATGCAGCAAACACATGAGGTCCTCCTCAGTTTCAGCAAGCAGGGTTGTGTCATCTGCATAATGCAGATTGTTGATAGATCTTCCACCAGTCCTGATGCCACACTTCTCCTCATAGAGCCCAGCCTCTCGGATAATCTATTCTGCATACAGGTTGAAAAGGTATGGAGATAGGACACATCCCTGGTGCACACCCTTCCCAATTTTGAACCATACAGTGTTACCCTGCTGTGTTCTGACGACTGCCTCTTGGTCCAACTATAGGTTTTGCATTAGCACAATTAAATGTTCTGGGATTCCCACCCTTCTCAGAGTCACCCACAGTTTGTTATGATCCACACAGTCAAACACCTTTGCAGAATCAATGAAACACAGATAGACATTCCTCTGGTATTCCCTGCTTTCAGCTAAGATCCATCTAACATCAGCTACAATATCCCTAGTACCACAACCCCTTCTAAACCCAGCATGGACTTCTGGCAGTTCTCTGCTGATGTGCTGTTCCAGTTGTTTTTGGATAATCTTCAGTAGAATCTTACATCAACCATGCACTTGAACAAAACATAAGAACCAGAGCCAATACTATCCTCTGTAGGCATCAGACCTGAGACCCTCTGGACAAGCGCAGTTGTTCTCTCTAAAACCTAGTATTAAGGGATAAACGAGTATCCGAAATCACGTCATCTCATTTGGTTGGGTAACTAAGCCCAGAGAAGCTAGGTCCTTCTCAAGACCAAAGGAACAATTCAGTTCAATTGCAATTGAACCCAATACCTAGGCCTTCCATTCCCAATCCTGTGCTCATCCTCTGGGTGGGATTAACCAGGTAATGGCACAAATACTAACTGAAAGTTTGATAGTTTGACCCTTCCAGAGATCCTTCAGAAGAAAAGTCTAGTGATCAAAAAGGACTTGGGGGGAGGGGGAGAGATTGTATAACAATGAAAGAATTTTTCTTTTACTTTTCAAAGAGAAGAGCAAACTGGGGCAGAGGCTGGGGTGGGCAGGGAGAAAAATGCACCAAGGAATGAATGGAAATCCAAAGTCTCTGTAAAAGTACATTAAAATTAATAATTTTTTAAAAAAGATAAAAAGTCACAGCCTTGGAACTCCTTGTGTACAGTTGTACTCTGAAACATCCACGGTCACCATGAGTACGAATTGATTTGACCACAAGAGGTTGGTTGTGTTGTTTTGTTTTGTTTTGTTTGGATTCTCTCTTTGTAGTTGTAAGAAAATAATAAGAGCTTCCTTGCCTTCAATCTTTTCAAGATCTCTGTAAGAAATCGCGTAACAAGTGAGGATATCTGACAGAAACTTCTTCAAGTTCCTTTAGCCCTTTGTGAAAAATCGGGGAGTTCTGGTGGTATAGTAGTCCCTAGGGAGTTGTGTTGTTAACCCAAACGCCTTTCTAGTAGGTAGAATTCACTAACAGCTTCACAAGAGAAAGATGATGGGCTATCTCTTCCGTATCAATTTGAAGCCTTGGGTGGGGGGGAACCCTTTATGAAGTCAGTTCTGTCTCAACGACAATGACTTGAGATGTGGAAAAAATCCAAACTTTATTACCATGACTTAACTGGAAAGTTGATAGAATTTCAGAGCTGAATTTCTGGTGCCTTTGATAAAATATCACTTTAATTAGCCCTTGAACTTTCTGCCCAGAACAGAACTACTGTGAAATCAGGTTAATCATAGCATCCTCTTGTTGGGTTCTCTTACGTAAACTCTGGTTGTTAGTCATGCAATAACCAAGTCTGCCTTAAGATTTTCAGCTTCTTTTAAGTTTCTAGTGCCACTAAAACTATCCACTGAACTCACAATACAATAAATGATTTCCTCTTTTCTGTCGCCTAGAACCTGAAGCGGGTGGCGGAGACCTGGATGGACGAATTCGCCGAGTACATTTACCAGCGGCGGCCTGAGTACAGACACCTCTCAACTGGTGACATCTCGGCCCAGAAGGAGCTGCGCAAGCAACTCAAATGCAAGGACTTCAAGTGGTTCATGGCTGCGGTGGCCTGGGACGTGCCCAAGTTCTATCCCCCAGTGGAGCCCCCACCTGCCGCCTGGGGGGAGGTGAGCAAAGGATTGCCATGAAGCCTGCTTTGACTAGAGTGTTTTGTCTCTCATTGTCTGGGGTGTGGGAAGGAATGCTGGTACTTTCTACTCCTTTCTCCTGCTGAGTAGAACTTTTGATAGATGAATCTCAGATTCTTTTATAGAAGAAAGGAGCTGTGGTGGCCTAGTGGATTAAGGGTTGTTCTGCAACTCAAAGGCAACTGGTTCAAATCCACCAGCTACTAGGCAGGAGATGGATGGGTAATCTCCTGTGCAATTTACAGCCTCTGAAAACCTGCTCTAGGGTCAACTAGTAGTCAGTTTTGACTGAAGGCAAGAAGTGAGTGGAGTGGGATATGAACACTCAGTCTTCAGCCTTGATAGCCCATCCCAGAACGCCTGACTAGTATTGCCTTCTCAGATTTTTTTTTGCATACAACTGGAAAAGTTTGGCTTTTGAGATTAGTGGAATCACCATAAGAATGTATGATAGGAAATTAAAATATCCATCATCCTGCAACATAAAGCAAGTAAACCAAATGTCCATGAAAACATCTTTGCCAGTCCTCTGGGCACAGCCTTGTTTCTGCTTGTACATTCAAGGACAAGAAGAGGTAGGGGGGTTGCTTTTTTCTAATCAGGGTGTGTTATGTCGAACCACAGGGAGATAGATACCTTCCCACAATACTCAGAACTGAGCAATGTGCTCCTTAAATAATTAAGCTTAAGCTCCTTAAATAATTGCCAACGTGGCCACCTCTCAATGCTTCTGTTTGATTTCCCTTTTTGATCTAAAATGAAAGATCTGAATGGCTCCAGTTCCTAGATTCAAAAGTCTCTCTCTTGTGGCATAAAAGCACCATTGTGCTGGGTTCAGTTCCATTCAATACTGGTTACTATAGACTTCTGCTGATAGAAGAATGTTCTAAAGCAAAGATTAAAAACGGATGGGGTGACTTTTTTTATCCTATCAACTTAATCTGCTTTTAGCAGAGGATATCAGGGGGAAATGCAGCCTCGGCTGAGTGCCCCATGCCAGTACCCAAGTCTTTCAGAAGCTGAGAGCTCACTGACTGTCCTGCACTGTGGCAGAAACTCTTCATCGTCATTCTCGGTTTTGTAGTGTTGAAAGGCTCAGGTTGTTAACTAGAGAGCGGCTGTGACTGCAGAAATCTGGAATAAAGTTTCCTGGGGCATAGTAGGAGTGGCCACGGTGGACTTCAGGCCTTCTTGGATGAGCTGAGACAGGTCCCTCTCCCTGAAAATGTGTTTAGCAAGTGTAATATACTTAATGTGTTTTTCTGGGAGGGTGGAAGAAAATGCCATTCTCTGCCTAGACTGAGAAATCCAAGCTTCAAGAAGAGAATGGAGACCATGACTGTGTGTTCTATCCTCTGGTGACTGTGTGTGTGTGTGTTTGTGGCCCTGATACTGTCTCAATCATTTTTCATTTGATCTCATCAGGCACATCTCAACAATTTCATTAAAGCTTCCATGGAATATTAACCATTTTATTCTGCTTATATTAGTTGTCGCTATCTACAGTGAGCTTCAATTTCAGCAGAGAAAATTTAAAGTGAATACCTAAAAGAGCTTTATTTTTAGCATGTTATAAAATTTAGGAATTCATTATTCAGTAAGCTTGTAAGTTCCAATTTAAAAATTTGTGATTATGATTGTTCATCCATTGCACTATACTGTGTTTTCTTATATATTTTTTTGCTTACAAAGTTCAAAGACATTGGTTTCACACTACTCTTCATTCACTACTCATTGTACCTCATAAAATCATTCCCATGCATTGTTTCATAAAATTAATCATCATTGGACCTTGCCCATCATTACCCTGTCTTTTCAGATCCCAGCCAGATCCTTCCCATTTCCTTCACCCACCCTACCTCCACTCATCAAATTGTGCAGCCCTGTGGTTTTGACCTACCCATCCTCACCCCTCTGCTCCCAACTCCTTTCCCACTTGGGTCACCATATATGTTTTACTAGTTATCCCTGTAATTGTGTCATAATGCTCTTATGCAGTAGTTATCCTTATGAGACTAAGTTAGTTCACTTAGAATAGTCCTCTCCACTCTCTCCCTAGTTCTGTAGTATTTTTCAAAACCATTGTTCCTGAGTGCTGCATAGTATTTAATTGTGTGAATATACCTCAATTTCTTAATCCATTCAGTTGTGGCTGGACATTTGGGTTGTTTCCATGTGATAGTGAATAATGCTGCTATGAACATTGATATATAAATCTCCATTTGTGCCTCAGTTCTAATTTCCCTGGGGTATATGCCAAGTGCTCTGCTGTACATAGAATTTTTGAAGGCCTGTTATATTTTGAAAGTGGATGGACAATGACTAAGGATGACAGAAGAAGAATCAATGCTTCTGAATTGTGGTGCTGGAGGAGTCTTAAACATACTACAGACTGCCAAGAAAGCAAATAAGTCTGTCTTGGAGAGGGTGAAACCAAGTTTCCTTGAAGGCTAGGATTTTGAATCTTCTTCTCACATACTTTGGGCACATGGCCAGGAGAAGGACATCATGCTTCGAAGGGTGGAGGGACACCTCAGGAAAGGAAGAACCTGGATGAGATCAATTGTTGCAGTGACTGGGGCAATAGGGGTTGGTTTGTCAGAATTAGTGAGACCAGCTCAGGACAGTGCAGGGTTCAGAGCTACTGTACATAAGGTCACTATGGATTGTAGGCTACGTGATGGCACATAACAACAACAGCATATTCCAAACGGTGAAATAGCTAAGACATAATGAATTTCTATGTTCAACTTTTTGAGGAAACACCAAACTGCCTTCCAGAGTGGTTATACTATTTTACAGTCCCACCAATAGTGTATGAGAGTTCACAGCTCTCCATATCCTAACATTTATTGCTTGCTGCCCTTCTAAACTTTGCCACTGCTGCTGGGAATGAGATGATATCTCATTGTGGTTTTGATCTGCATCTTTCTTATTTCCAGTATATGCCTTAACTGAAAAACAAAACAAAATCCCCAATGACATAAAATCAATTTCAATTCATTAAATGTCTAAGAAGTACATCTTTATAGGAGGAGACTGCCTATGTCTCTCTGGTAGAGCAACAGGAGGGTAAAAACCAAACAACTTTTGGTTAATAGCCTAACAGGTAACCATTATACCACCAAGAATCCTTATTCATTAAGAAACACATGGAAAAACCCTCACAATTATCATTGAAAGATTCACTGGTGGATCAAAATCTCATCAATCTTCTCTCCAAATAATTTGGGAATATATTATTTGGCATTTTTGTTTCTGCTTTGTTTTCCTACATAGTGACCGCTTCAAGCTGCAAGTGGTCACATTTTTCTACCTTTGCTTGCATAGACAACAACTTGTATTCATAGATCACCTTGCTTTAAAACAGATTGTAAGATTATAGAAAAGGCATAAGCTACAAAGATCAAGTATTCAGTATTTTTAAAAGATGAAATGCTGTTTATTTTCCCAAATCTTCACAAAAGTTTATACTTAGCATTTTGTAAAAATAAAGAGCTTTAGCGGCATAATGCAGTTCATTGGTAGTTGCACTATTCGCTCAATAGGCAATCTTTATGATGATGTTGTTGTTGTTGTTGTTGTTGTTAGGTGCCGTCGAGTTGCTTGCAACTCATAGCGACCCTATGTACAACAGCCCTAAACTCCACTCTGTCCTGTGCCAATCACACTGTCTCTGACACTCCCATCCCGATTATCCCAGTCACTGAATCAATCCACCTCATAGAGGGCCTTCCTCTCCTGCGTTGTCCCTCCACCCTCCCGAGAGCACGATGTCCTTCTCCAGGGACTGGTCCCTCCTTACAACATGTCCAAAGTATGTTAGACGGAGCCTCAGAATCCTTGCCTCCAAGGAGCCATCGGTTTAACCCTTTCCTGCTAAAGGGTCTTCTTTTATCTAAATAATTTCGAAATATCTTTTTTTTATCTTAACAAATTATGGCTGACATTAAACACTAAATATATTGTTAATAATCTTTAAATATGGTCTATGACCTTGAGGATGTTACTTACATCCTGGGATATAAGTTTCTGTTTTGTCCAATTAATAGAGTGAATAACTATCTGGAAATCTCTGTTGCTGGTTTGTTTGATTTTACATTTTAAATTGTGATTTATGGGAAAGTTTACAAACTATATTGCTTGATTCTATTGTCCAGTAAATCATTCATGCATATTTTGTTCTAGTACATTAATTAAAATATATTTGATGTCATAAAAAAGAGAATGAGGATTCCAAAACACTTAATTGTGCTCATGAGGAACCTACATATAGAATAAGAAGCAGTTGTTCAAACAGAACAAAGGAACACTGCAGGTTTCACGAAAAGTGTATGTCAGGGTTGTGTCCTGTCTCCACACCTATTCAAATCCGTATGCTAAGCAAATCATTTGAGAAGCTGGAGTCATAAGAATATTATATCAAGATTGGGTTAAAACTCATTAATAGCTTTTATTATGCAGATAACACAACTTTACTTGCAGAAAATGAAGTAGACTTGAAGCACTTACTGAAGACAATCAAAGACTACAGTCTTTATATGGATTCCATCTCAATAACAAAATAACCAAAATTCCTCACCAGTAGGCCAATAGGCAAAATCACAATGTTGTTGTTGTTGTTGTTAAGTGTCATCGAGTCACAGGCGACTCATAGCGACCCTATGAAGGAGAGTCCTCAATGCTTGGGTGCCTTTCATCCTCTCTCCAGGTTCATAGGGTTTCCGGAGGCAAGCTATTACAGAAGTGGATGCCACTCCTCCTTCCAAGCTTGTTTTCATTGGGGAGCTCCACCCCACTCTCTGTCCGCATTGGGTAACCAACCATTAACGCAATATCACAAAAGATGAAAAAAAGACTGAAGTTTCCAACTATTTTTTTTAAACTTAGATTCACAATCAATATACATGGGAAAAGCATCCAAGAAATCAATAGATGTGTTGCCTTGGGAAAATCTGTTGGCAAGGATCTCATCAAAG